TTTTCCCCTTCACAAGCAAAGTACCTAGGTATTTTAATGGCAAAGAGCTGGTCTTGAAGCCACTAAGTTCAGTAGTCCAATGCTTAATTTGAGGTTTAACTATTTTGCTAAACACCAAAAGACATTTCTTAGTATGGAAATGCATACCAGAACATTGCTGAAATTTCTCCAAACATTGAAGGACCATTTTAACAGCTGGTTTGGTAGCTTTGGCAAAGATAATAACATCATCGACAAATGCTAAATGATTCACGGCAATATTAGATTTATGACTGTACAGTGTATGAGGGGATGAAACCATGAGCTGATTAAAAAATTTAGAGAAGTAATCAAACGCAATGATGAATATAGTTGGAGATAGTGGATCACCTTGCTTAATTCCTCTAGATGAGTTGAAGAAACCATGAGATTTACCATTAATAAACACAGATTGAGAGTTGTTTAGAAGCCATCTATGTATCGGCAAGATAAATTGTTCATTAAAACCCTTAGCATAAACACTTTCTCAATGAACTCCCAGTTGATGTGTCATAAGCCTTCCTAATATCTAATTTCATTATTAGGTTCCCCCCTCTACATTGCTTATCCAGATCCAACACCATTTCTTGGGCTAGCAGAACATTCTCTACAATACTTCTCCCTTTGATAAAAGCTGACTGGTTCTCATAAATAAGCTTGGGAAGTATGGGTTGGAGTCTGTTGGAGATCACTTTGCTAATCATTTTGGATATCACATTAGAGAGTTTTATGGGCCTGAAAAGATCCCAAGAGATTGCAGAAGAAGATTTGGGAATAAGAGTTATGTTGGAGCATTTAAAATAGTTGGGGAGATCCAAACCTCTGAAGAAACCTTGGATAGCCTGTACAATATCATCTTTAATGATCTTCCATTGAAAAAATCTAAAAAAAACCCATCAAGTCCAGCAACTTTGGAGCTATCAATGGAAGCCACAGCAGACCAAATTTCCTCTTCCCCAGGAATAGAAGTCAGATCCAGTCCCCTCATGAAGTTCTCATCCCTGCAAAACAAATCTTGCTGGATGGGGGGCCTAAAAATAGATGGTTGTGTAAAGAGTGTTTGGTAGTAGTTAACAACACTAGTAGCAATCAAGTCTTCAGAATGGAGCCACTTGCCATCATTCTCCTTTATCTTATGTATTGTGTTGCACTTTCTTCTAAACTTGATACATGCATGAAAGTATTTTGAATTTCTATCCCCTTCACAAAATCTGGTCTTAGCAGCCTTTTAGGCAAAAAAACCTCCTGCATACAGATGGCATTCATCAAATTTTCATTAGCAATCAATAAATCCTTCTCCACCTCAGGGTTACTCTCTAATTCAGCCTCCAACTTAGTAACAGTCTTTTCAGCCTCCACAACATTTAAGTTGATATCACCCACTCTTTTCCAATTCCAGTTAGATAAATGTCTACCTAACTTCTTTTGCAGTTGCCATAACTTAATCAGAGGCTTGGGATGGTGACAGTCCCTCCAAACCAATGAGACTTGATTTAGGAAGTCATTGTGGGAGGACCGCATATTGAGGTATCTAAAACTTGGCTTATGCTTAACATTTGATGCTGAAATATTCATAAGTAGTGGTCTATGATCTGATCCTGTCATGCTGAGATTCTGCACAGAAGTGTGAATGAACGCACTAAACCACATGGAATTCACAAAATA